GGGGGGGGGGAGATTATCAACTGTCGGTCGAAAGTTTGTACCGAGAGTCTCGTAGGGGGAGCGATCTGAAGACCACTTGGCACCGCCTGCCCTGCAGACGACAACCACCCTGCCGCGTGCCAGTGCTCGTCGTGTCACACTCCTCTGCCCTCCCATCCACGATGCCCGAGTCCTAGGCCCAGACTCGCTCAACCATCTGCCACATGGCCGTTGCGCAATCCCGTGTGCATGAGTGCGCAATCTACCGGTAGTCATCGACGGAGAGCCACGTGGCAGCATCATTAGGCGAGCTGGTGTTGAGCTCTGGATTTGCCGGATCAACCAAACGTCGACGTCGGGTTCAGCAGCACGAGGTACCAAGCTACCACGTGGCATACCTTTGGCCACGTGGTTGAATAATGAACAGATGCCTGTCACCCGCCTGCTCCTGCAGCTCCTCATCCTCACCAGAGGCGCACTATAGAGGCCATGGCCATGGCCATGGCCATAGATCATCAGAGTTGGTGCTGACGATGACCGAACAGACGGGGTGAGAATCGAGGAAGACTCAACCCCATTTCGCGTTCGAATTTCGATCGGGGCGGACATGACCAGTGGGACACCTTCACTCGCGGGCAATGAGGACGTGGAGACCGGTCGTCGGCACGGCAGACTGGTCGTCGACATGGTGCAATAAGGTCTCGCCACGTGGATGGCCAGACATACATGGTCACGAAGACCGACGGCGGCCGAGACCTGGCTGCATCGGACGTCCATGGTCGGACCGTCGTACGACGACTCTGACTGCCGTCGTACGGATGGTCGTGGGTGGTGGTCCTCACCAGGAAAGGAGCACCACCCTCAGCATGCCCCTCCTCCCACCAGTCAAGAAACACCAGGAGCAGCCCCCTCCGCCGACTACCGAAACAGCCTCCTTGCAGCGTCACTCCTGGCGCCAGATTCTGGCCCTTTTTATGGCTTCGCGGCTGTCCACGTGAGCGGTCCTCCGGGATATCCGATAAAAAGGGAAAATTGCACCTGTACCCAGTCCTAGTGCCAACTTGCCCCTATAACCGGAAAACTGCGGGTGGAAATGCTCGACCTATCGTGGGAAACACGAGTTCAGCGCACACGTTGGGCCTCGCTCCACTACTCTCGCAATTCGCCAAACGAGAGTAAATCTTCAGCTAGAACATAGAAATCGACCTCACGTTCTGCGTGCAAGGATCAGACGTTTAGCGTTGCCAGCTCGTTCGTCCCTGGTCCCCCCGTCAGTCCCTGTTCATGTTAGCATACCTTCAAATCATACACTCGACCTGTGAGAGTTCGCTCCCATTACCATTACCCTGTGTGCTCAACAATAGTATTTTAACCCTTTATTCGTACATCACATTCTGCACGCATCTCAACTGTTCGCGCAGGACTGAGGTGGGCCCACGTTGGACCCAGGTGGAAATGATTTGGATGCCCAGGACTGAGGTGGACCCAGGTTGGACCCAGGTGGAAATGATTTGCATGCCCAACACTGAGGTGGACCCAGGTTGGACCCAGGTGGAAATGATTTGCAAGCCCAGGACCGAGGTGGACCCAGGTTGGACCCAGGTTGGACCCAGGTGGAAATGGTTTGCATGCCCAGGACTGAGGTGGACCCAGGTGGGTATGGAAAAATTGCGGTTATACCCAACTACCGGAATGCAAAAATTATGGACATACCCAGGCAAAATTATGGGCATACCCAGGACTGAGGTGGACCGGCCAGATTATTCATATACACTACTACGGGATGCCTGAAATTATGATCATACCCAGCAGCCGCTGGGCCACAAGGGTCCACGTGGTGGACATGAGCGTAATTTTGTGGTTGCCATCCAAGGCCCGCCCCTGGCTGTGGGTACACCCGCAATTTTACTAGCCCGTTTATGGGCATGGGTATAATTTCGTTGCCTGGAACTCGGGCCCTGCGGGAGTGGGTATGCCTACAATTTCGCACAGGGGAATGGGCATAATTTCGTTGCCTGGAACTCAGGCCCTGCGGGACTGCGGGACTGGGTATGCCTACAAATGCCTACAATTTCGCACAGGGGAAAAGTCGGGTACTAACGCAAAGTTGAGCGGGGTCCGGGTATAGGTGCAAGTTGGGCGCTGGGACTGGGTATAGCGGGTATTCTCATCTTTCTTTAAGTGGGTACAGATGCAATTTTCCCAAAAAGGGAAAAAGAAAACAACAACACGCACATGGGCTGGTCTTCTGTGGCAGGGCCGCGGGACACAGGAGCTCTCCCTAAACTACTCCCAAATCTGTGATATGGCCAGTGTATCTTTTTTTTTTTTTTTTGAAACGGTATGCTCACGATTTTTTTCGCACATCGGTTGTTGCTGTGTGTCTTTTCTCGTATCTTGTTGACCAATGGCTGTTCCCTGTGGTCATTCCTTGGGGAAGAACCACGGAAGCCCACGTGGCAGCGCGTCCCGTCCCGTCGGGTCACAGTCCAGCGTGGCAACCTGCCCGTCGATTCACGGTCTGAGGAGTCATCGCTTCCCGTCGGAAGACTGTCTGACGTGGCAGCCCTCCCGTTGGGACACGGTCTGGCCTGGAAGCGCTTCCCGTCGAGTCACGGTCTGACGTGGCAGCTCCATCTGTCGGGTCACAGTCTGACGTGGCAGCCGTCCCCATAGGGTCACGGCCTGACGTGGCAGCACGGGGAAGATGATGCATCGTGGTGAGCGCCATGTCAGCCGCGGCGAAGCGGGGGGCCCAGGACACAAGTGACTCAGAGAATGGACTCGGTCAGTAGTCAAATGCACGACATCGGCAGCAACTGTGAGCTCCATCATTAAGTGTCCCAAGCCTTAACGGGGCTGACACGTGGCTGCGCGTAAAGCCGCAGCGTAAACGGAACCAAACGGCAGGCGGGCGCGATCCGGACACAGTCGAGGTTTCTTGACTGGAACCGTGTCGGGATCGACTCGTTGTCGTCAACAACAAGGTCGGAAGACACGTGGCTTTCGGGAAAGGATCAGGTGAGTGGCACAGTCCTCTCGGTGGTACGCTGAAGAGGAAAGCTATGGGGAGACAGGGCCTCGCTCCACTCCTCACTAAATGTTAAAAATGAGAATGAATTTTCCGGTAGAACATGGAAAGGTGCACAGCCATAATTTTTGTCTTTTGTGCATCTGGAGAGTAGTGGAGTGACGCCCACAGAGAAGGGGGATGGTATGGTGAGAAGTGCGACCTACTGTTGTCACGTATGGCCAGGCAGTCCGGGCGTCTCAAGAGATTTCTCTCTCTCTCTCTCTCTCACACACACACACACACACACACACACACACACACACACACACACACGCACACGGTGGGCCAGGCAGTCCAGGCGTCTCAAGAGATTTTACTCTCTCTCTCTCTCTCTCTCTCTCTCTCTCTCTCTCTCTCTCTCTCTCTCTC